TATTAGAGAGATGCAAATCAAAATAACAATGAGATACCATCTTGCTCCAGCACTAGTATCAAAGTTCAACAAGACAGAAAATAACAAATGCTAGCGAGGTTGTGGAGAGATTGGGACTCTCATACACTGCTGGTGTGACTATAAAATGGTACAACCATTGTGGAAAGCAGTGTGGTGATTCCTTTAAAAGTTGGAATTAGAAATACCATTTGACCCACCTATTCCATTACTAGGTATAAACCCTAAAGAAGTGAGAGCCATGACAAGAACAGATATATGCATACCCATGTTCATTGTAGCACTATTTACAATAGCCAAAAGATGGAAACAACCTAGGTGTCCATCAACTGAGGAACAGATATCCAAACTATGGTACATATACACAGTGGAATACTGTGCAACGCTAAAGAGTAATGTAAAATCTGCAAAACACTGCATAACGTGGATGAACTTGGAGGACATTGTGCTGAGTGAAATAAGTCAATCACAAAAGGACAAATATTGTATTAGTCCGTTATGGTAAAAGTTAAGGAAAGGTTTATCTATAGAAGGAAATTTTCTTTGTTGGTTACCATGGGTGGGAGGGGAGGGAAGGGAATGCTGTTAGATAGATAGAGATAAGTATTGAGTTGGGTGAAGAGAAAGGCACTGTACCAAATTTGTGTGACCAATATGACAGCATTGAGGATGAGAAAGACATAGAGAGGTACATGGGAGGTACAGACAACAAATATGAACCCTTTTGCACATAGAGTACTGCGTTGTCAATGAAGGCAAACGTGGGTGTATGGATGGATAGGCTGTACGATTAGGCCGACTTGACGGCACATAACAACAACAACATGATATGGAGAGTGTATACAAGTACATATATAGGGTTGGCAGACGATGGTCCTATAAGTTTAAGTGAATGATCAGAATTCCTAGGTGTATAGTAGAGCTCACAAGGGGCAAGGTTGTGGTCAGTGCTTGATCACAGCCAGCTACCCAGGGGGACCAAGTAGTTGAACCTGAGAGCTTGGGATCATAATCGCCCAAGCTCAATTGGCATAACATACTATACAAAACATTGTTCCACCTCCTACTTTGGTGAGTAGCGACTGGGATCTTAAAAGCTAGCAAGGTGCCATCTAGATGCAATGATGGGTCTCTCCTCGTCCACAGCAAAAAAATGAAGGAAACAAAAAATCATGGAAATAATTAG